TTATTGATAACCCCAAAACCCCAAAACCCCATGCTCATTAAATAGAGAGTAAAAAATGATAGTTAAATATATACTAATTATTATCAGTTGCATCTTATTCATGCAGATTGAAGTATGAAAAAACTCTATTCATCAATCATGATTTCTTATAATAACCTTTTGCATATCTCCTCTGTGTCTAGTTCCGTCCTATTATGTGAGATTGTCGCTAGAACCACATATTAAAAGTGGCAAAATAGGACATATGTTTCCAGTGCATAGACCTTCTTGATAAATAATTCAGCCTTGTTACTAGAAACAAGATATCTATCATAGAGTTTCTCATACTCCTGCAAGCTTTTCATTTATGCGAGACTGTAGAGATCAGGTTCTATCAAAGGAAAGTTGAAGCATGTGTACTGATCAAGCAGGCCATTGCTCACAATCGCATGTTAAATTTCTCCAAGCTCTATAAAAATATAATGAATTATTAATATTTTTATCTTACATTTTCTTGCAAACATGCTCACCTCAGCATCCTATACGTTATCAATAATACCAAGTTGCTTGAAAGAATATATTGTGCTAGTGCAGAATTGTTCTAATAGCTTTCCAATTTCAGGAGTTGACTCTTCCGTTACAAATACAATCTTCAGCACACTGTCCTATTCAAAGTAAGTGAAGAGATTTATTCTAAAGTTTTCACTCATCCCTGGGAGACATATTGGATCAAAGCTTTACCCTTATTCAGCTATTCTGTCGAAGTTAGTGTTTATATAGTTCATTATCATACTGATATCTCTTAATAAAGCTTAAGATAAGAAATTTACCTAAAGGCAAAATTACTATCCTTGAGTCATCTTTAATAGTAGTCACAACAGTTCTTTCAGCCAATACAAGACCATAATAGTAAATGTTTCCTAATAAAAATTTAAATCTTTTTACAACCTATTCAATTGCTAGCTTTGTGTCTTAGTGCAATCTTAGCGGTAAGTATTAGTTCAGAAATGTTTATGGATCTTTATTTAGGTTAATCAAATGATTGTTAATTAATTAGTGATGATCTATGATATTTGATATAACATCATAGCTAGGGTTTAACTTCAAGTTTTTAATCAAGTTTTAAGTTGTCAATGAAATCAATTGACTATGCAGATTTTCAAGTTATCTTTTCACAGCAGTCTATGACTCATTTTAATCCTTTGAAAGTCCAATGTAGATTAAACAATCACCCTTATGCAAAAAGCATACTTTGAAATTTGATATTAGTGTATTCAACGAACGAATCCTCGATATTTTCTCGTCATTTTCAATTGAAAATTGATCCTAAGGTAATAGAGAAGTTAAAAGTTAGTCTTGATCAGTAGGCTAAGTAGTTGTGTTAGTATTTTCTTCTTCTCTTCTTTTCCAAATTGTTTAGCTTATTCTATTTTGCAGCTTAACTGTTAATCTATTACTCTCTTGCTATTTCTAGTCCTCAATATCTTGCTCCATGAATTTATTTACTTTTTCAGGGGTTTTAAGTGTTTATATCTTTGATAGAATAGCATACATCGTTGCAATAATAGGCGATAGACTGTATATATCTCCATGACTAAAATTAGATTAGTTTAGAATTGTAAGTGAATAGAAATAAAAATGAGTTATTGAATTATACTTACTTGCAAAAAACTGGTTTACCAGAGTTCGTAAGTATAATAAATATCTTTTCTTAAGTAAAAAACGATTCTAGTTCCTTTTCTTCCTCTTCATTTTAAGCTAAATTATCAAAACTAGAATTGACTAGAGATGATTTCCTGCTTCTTGATTTTATAGGCGAGGAGGTGCCCCAGTCATTCTAATCATGATCAGATCTTAATGCCTAGAAATCGAAGTTATCATCTTTCATGTCTTCTTAGAGTGAGACTACCGGAGCTTAATTACCTAGTTAATCTTTTTTTAGTCAAGAGTTTTCCAATCTTTCACAAATTTCT